GTATTTTCAGCTCTCAATGAAAGCACCAAAATGATGGAAGTAAATCCACCGGAAAATAATTAATAAGAGATAGCCGAAAATAATTAAAGTGCTCAGGATAATCTTTAGAGAGATAAATGTATGTAGTGTAATAAGTGTCTTGAGCTTGATTAACTTTCCAAAGATTACATCATTTTATAGTGCAAAATAAGACATAAAAGATTTGGGCGACGTGGTCGCCATGTTCGTATTGATACGCAAATCACTAATCCGGATCCGCAGGATCCTTTGTTGATCGTGTAAATATCTTGAAAAGACGTCATTGATGTAGTTTGTCCGTACAGAGTCACCATGTAGGCATAACGTCCAAAGACACTATGCATATGTTATTTGGATAAGCTTCTACTACTATGTCCAGGGTCATTGTGGACGCTCCTCTGGCTAAGGTACTTGATCGCGTCCATGGTTGCTGTGGACATGCTCTCTGGATAAGCCTACCCCGACATCCACGGTCACTGTGTAGTCCCTGATCTTCTATTAACTTGCGTCCACAGTCGTCATGTACAGTATTTTATCTTCTAACCCGCGCGTGGTCACCATGTACGAGCTCTTCTTATACCTTGTCATCATCCGTGCATAGTTACCATGCACATCAACCTCTAACTGTTTTCATCCATGTTAACCCGGTCAACATTTATCCATGGTTGGGATAATTATACCATCAATTATAATTATTATAATTATTATAATTATTATTATAATTATTATTATAATAAAAAGGATAAATCATGTCTGAACTTTTCTGATCTGATCTGAATGTTCCTGATATGAATGTTTCTGATCTGATCTGAATGTTTCTGATCTGATCTGAATGTTTCTGATCTAATCTGAATCTTTCTGATCTGATCTGAATGATTCTGATCTGATCTGAATCTTTCTGATTTGATCTGATCTGATCTGATCTGATCTGATCTGATCTGAATTTTTCTGATCTGATCTGATCTGATCTGAATAAAATAAGAATAAACAATAAGTAATAAGATTAAGACGAACAGAACAACTTCTTACTCTTTAACACTCTTAATTCATTTAGAACGGATGGAAAACACTCATATATATAAACTCATAAATTGGTAGTGTGGACTCAACAACATCCGTAAAATAGTGAATAGTTTTCATGGGTATGCAAAAGTTAATCACACATCAGCACTCATCTACTATGCTAGTAAAGATGTTTTCTTTTGGATTGAAATTTGCTGGTCTGGTCTGATTTGGTCTGGGAAACGTCTGGTCTCTGTATATTTTATAGCTACAGAAGTCTGGTCTGATCTGGTCGCGTTTGAGACTGAAAATAGCCCAAAAGAAAACATCCTAAGTTTTGTATCATTATAAGTATCTCCTTTCCGAGTTAAAGACGCGGTCAAATTATATTATCAATGTCCTAAGATTGAGACAAACTAGAGACATTAGGTTATTAAGAAATTTGGAACTATGAAATTAGAATTAGTGATAAAGTGTGAATAAAGTAAGAATGAAATGTAACAATTATCCAAATGTTACCAAACATGGTATATAAACTTAGTGAGACAGATGAAAATGTAAAACATGGCAATGATGTGGAGACTGAGCGAGTAATTTTTAACAGAACATATTTTTAAGATGTTCATTAATTTGTCACAATATATGAAACTCTGGAGCTATCACATTCCATCTTACATCACTTTGGAATCGATTTGAGATGAAGAACATTAAATTTGAGAATTTCCATTAATAAAATTAGAAATTTATTTTAGAGAGATTGGTATTTGAAAATTTTAGACAAAGAGCTAAACGCTTTACAAATAAACATACTCCCTCCGTTCCAATTTGTAAGATACTTTACCGGTTACAATGTTTGACCTAGGGGTGGGGAAAAATACCGAAATTTCGGTATACCGGACTTACCATATCGAAAAATACCGAATTTACCGAAGTGTTTGGTATACCGACACTTTTGGTACGGTATGATACCGTACCGAATTACTTTGGTATGGTATCGGTATATATTTTGGAAATAAATGGTATACCGTTATACCGTCATACCGTAATTCCAAGCCAATAATTTCTTTAAAATTATAAAAATAACTAGAAAACACAACATTAATTCAAGGATAATGACTTTATATCCATGTTTCTTGAATTATTTATACTTTTTGTTGGAGATCGATGTTATTTCAAATGTATTTATGTTGTTTAAATTATTATTTTAGCAGAATGTGTTGTTATCTTCATATATCATGGGTTGAAGTATCCGTACATATTTATAATATTTTTTTGTTCAAAGTTGAATAGAACACAAATAGGTTATCATTGGTATTTTATAATTAATTTCATTAATAATTTTAGTATATCACTATTAACACTGATTTTCTATATTTCATTTGATATATAATAATTTTATATTAAATCGTGATAATTTACCGATATCGTAGCTTACCATACCGAAATTTTGGTATACCGAAACAAGGTATACCGAAATTTAGGTATGGTAACGGTATGTATTTTTGCATACCGAAAGTTTACGGTATGGTAAAGGTATGAGATAAAATCTTCGGTATACCGTACCGAACCACCCCTAGTTTGACCGACGATAAAACAAATTGATCTCTGTCAACACTCAAATTAGTTTTAAAAAATAAAAGTTACATATTCAGAAACTACATTAAAACCGTTACAAAACTTAAAAATAATAGTTCAAATTTCACAAAATTTTGATATATAAAATTTCAAATTAAGAATGATTTATATTGATCAGGTGAATAGAAAAGAATTGGGAGGGAGTACATTTTTTGGTACATACATCTCATTAAAATTTGGGGAAAAGGGACAAAAACACCACTAGAGTTGTTACTAAAGGGCATCGAAGCCCTCAAACTTAATTTTGGAGCAAAAATCTCCCTGTTCCCTTGAAAGAGAGCATTTCTCCCCTTCTTTAACGGCAACTCATTAACGGTGACAATAATGAGACGTCTGAGAGTTTAAGAGCATGCTTTGAGCAATTGTGAATTTGTCATGTTTTGACCATAGACCCCAGATTTTTTTTGAAGGAAAAAAATGTGAGTAAATGGCTTAAATAATTAAACAGCCATGTCACACCCATGTATTTTTGTGTGAGCAAATGTCTTAAATTATTAAACATGTGACAAATTAACTAATTAAATAATGTGGAATTGTAGATATTTTTAATTGAACTAATTCTTTTATCTGGTGTAATTTCGTCTGATCAATTTTTGTCTAATCTAATATGTTTTAGAAGGTTTTACTTAGACGTATTTCAGTCCTGGACCAGGTTTGTCGGTTTGATTTGACCAAACCCGACTAGATATAAATAGATCAGACCTAAAAAAATTACAAATTACTCATAAACTAGACATTTACCGAACGAGACAAGACATGATCAGTTTAGATCATACCAAATCAGAGTAGACCAAACCATAAAATTTCATTCCAAATAAAAAAATCCTTAATCTGGTCTGCTATGAAATGTCATTATGTATTATTTATATATTATAATTTGTATATAGTTTATTTCTATTCATTTATTATCAAATCTAGAAAAATCCTCCCAAATCATTGTCTAGTATATCTTCTCGACTTAACATACATTTTTAATCAGTACTCCCTCCGTCCAAAAATTATTACTTCTCATAATAATTCTTAAAATTAATTATAAATAGAAGATAAGATGAAGATAATATGAATATATTAAGATTCAAAAATTACATTAAACTTTTTATAAATTTAACAATAGAAAATTTAATTTTAATAAAAGTTGGATATACTCTGTATAAAGTAAAAGATTATAAAGCACTTTACAATGACCAGAGAATAGGACAATGCTCTCTGGTCAATGTAAACTGCTTTATAATCTTTTACTTTTTATATCAAACTTTTATTAAAATTAGGTTTTCCTTTATTAACTCTATAAAACTTTTAATGTAGTTTTGAATTGAATATCTTCATATTACATTCTTTTTAAAAATGTATGATAAGTCGAGAGGATATATTGTACCATAATTTTGGAGGGATTTTATTATTTCTAATAATAAATGAATACCAATAAATTATATACAGATTATAATATAAACAAGTATATATAATGACATTTCATAGCACACCAGATTAAGGATTTTTTATTTTTTTTGTTCGATTGAAATTTTATGGTCTGGTCTAATTTGATTTGGCTTGGTCTGATCTTGTCATGTCTTGTTCGGTAGATGTCTGATTTCTAAGTATTTTATAACTTTCGAGGTCTGATCTATTTATGCCTAATCAGATTTGGTCTACTCTGATTTGGTTTGATCTGAACTAGTCAAGTCATGATTGGTAAATGTCTAGTTTATGAGTAATTTATAATTTTTTAGGTCTGGTCTATTTATGTCTAGTTAGGTTTGGTTAGTTCAAATTTTGTTTAGAAATCAAATAAGTCTAAGTAAAAGCTTCTACAACATACTTCCTCCGTTCTTTTTTAGTTGCAACAGTCAACCTTTGCACATTTGCCAACGCACACATTTGACCGTAAGTATATCTTAATCTTTATTAATAAAAAATAATATCAAAAAACATATTTTGAAAATTTGTAATGAGATGAATTGGAAAAATATATTTTCTAAAAATTAATTTCCATAAAATAATAGTGTAAAATGTAGTCAAAGTAGATTAGGTGAATAGTGCAAAAAGTCGCCATGTTGCGATTAAAAAAAAGGAGGAAAGTATTAGATTAGACAAAAATTGATCAGGCCAAATTACACCAGATAAAAAAATCAATTCAATTAAAAATATCTATGATTCCACATAATTAGTTAATTTGTCACATGTTTAATTATTTAAGACATTTGCTCACAAAAATACATGGATGTGACATGGCTATTTAATTATTTTAGACATTTTCTCACATTTTCAAAAAAGCTGGGGTGTATTTACATTTATCACAAATTCACAAGTGCTCAAGACATGTTTTTAACTCTCCGTATAGTCACAGGCTCACAGCCGTTGGAGATGGGGAGAAATGTCCTCTTTTAAGAGGATAGGGAGATATTTGCTCCAAAATTAAGTTTGAGGGCTTAGATGCCCTTTAGCACTTTGTTTGACATCTCAGGTACATGGATGATACACTATGATGGATCTCTCAAGCAGCATATACTTCGTTTCATCCATCGACTCCTCCGAGTTCACTCATTTCAGTCGAGCACTAACTCGGTCGCCGGTAATCGGTCTTGACGCCGAATGGAAGCCCGTCCGCTCTCAGCAGCCCAACTATCCGACGGTCTCTATCCTCCAAATCGCTTGCCATATCGGTGAAGACGACGAAACTCGTCATTTCTCTAATAATTCGACACCTGTTTTCCTTATTGACCTCTCAGCTATCCCTCTTCTATCTATCTATGAGCTTCTCAGGGATGCGTTTGTTTCGTCTAATGTTCTGAAGTTGGGATTTCGCTTCAAGCAAGACCTGCTGTTCCTGTCCTCCACCTTCTGCTCTCAGGGCTGCGAGCCAGGTTTCGATAGGGTATGCTTCGCGACAATTCTAATTTGAATTCTGAATTTATGGATTGATCAGTTTCTCTTAATTTTTGTTGTTTCAGCATTCTACTTATTGCTGATTCCTGTAAACGAAACTTTTGCTCAAAGCTATAGACTTTACAAAATTTAGTCTAGTTGTTCTATAATATTGCCGAGTTCTAGTAAAGTCCAATATTGTGACTTGTGTACTTATATTGAAACTAAAACCGTTTAGCTTGGTTGATCTTTCCTTATCAAGCTGCTGGGTTTATACATTTACTGCCTTATTGTGCTTGGAGCTTAGTATTTAATTGCTCATGATTGTCCACTAGGTGGAACCTTTTATAGATATTACAAGCATATATGGCTACCTGCAACACAAGCAACAAGGAAGGTTACCAAAGCAATCTAAGAGTTTAGCAGCAATTTGCCAGGAAGTGTTGGGCATTTCTCTTTCAAAGGTTTGTGGTATTGGAGTTCACATAATGTTCATTATAGCTTTTGGCCTGGTGTAAATGGGATGAAAGAATATGGAGTGAACATTTATCTTCAGCCATTGGAAAGAAAATGGAAGGGAAATAAATGCTCGAAATTAGTTTCTTTTCAGCCATTCAAATATATTCCTCTCCGAAATGGGAAAAAAATCAGTGGAAATTTTAATTCTTTATCTCAACTCCTAACTCATCCCGGCTTCTCAATACAGAGTGACTTACCATTTCTCACTCATCTCTCCCCCTTTTGTTTCATCCAGATACCAAACCAAAGTCTTTCTTCATTTCTTCTCAAACCAAACCAAATCTGGCATACCTGGTATATCCCATTTGAACACAGGGTCTTGATAAGGTGAGATGTACATACACGATACACCTTAGCTCTACCCATAGGAGTATAGAGACTGTTTCTGTGAAGACCCCTGGCTAAGGAAAATTTCAGGAAGATTTGGACATTGCCAATTTTTTTGAAACTACTTGTGAAATTTTCTTAAACATTGACGATATTCGTAAAATATTTTTGACTTAGAATAACGGAGAACTTAAGGTGAATAGTAGTGCGGAGAGTGATAATAGATTGTATGGGTAATAAATCAAAGCATAATAAGCATAAAAACATTCCCATTTACTGTCTCTCCACTTTAAGACAGTTTGAGCACGAAACAGAACTTTAAGCATGACATTCTATTCACTAAAAGTGGATCCTCTGTCTATGATGTGCATACTTCAATTGCAGGAGCTCCAGTGCAGTGATTGGTCACAACGGCCTCTCACAGAAGAACAAAAGACTTATGCTGCAGTAGATGCTCTCTGCTTGCTTCAAGTCTTTGATGTACTCAAGGCCAGGGTGGCTAATGTAGTAGGTATGTCAAGTGCCATACTGTTTCCTTTATGATGTATATTGTACATCTTGAGATATCGAGGCTTTCTTGCATTGCCATCTTATCCCGCTGAATAAGAGAACAATAGCTACGAGATCAATTCTAAAGAAACATTGAAATTGACATTAATTGGTGACATTATTATGTGTCATGATTCATGGGTTGGTGATCATAGGATTATCTATTTCATCACCTAGTGAATATTTGAAACATAATAATGTCACCTATTAATGTTGACTTTCCCTGTCTGCTAATCGTATTGGTTTTTCAGCGTGTATCTTTTTACTTTTAATTTGTTTTTACGGCGTGTTATTGTGATAATTCCATATTTACAGTGCAACCATTTATTTTTCGTAGTTTTGTATTTTGGTAAATTTAGAGAGTTTTGAGCATCAGTCACCAATCTACAAAAAGAAGCATGGAAAAGTCCTAAAAAGATCAAGGAAGGTGCAACAGAACAAGACAACAATGAAATATTCTGATTTGATCATATACCCGGTTGGGTATATGCAATTCTAGATCGGGCATGTTTCAATCTGAAGATCAAACAAGATCAACAAAAATAATTTGACTTGCAGAAACATGGAAGAATCAGATTTGTCTTGATACCTGATCGGGTATAATCACATACCGGTTGGGTATGATTTGAAATTCAGGCCTTCCGGGCTACTGCCGATACCCATCTGGGCTCCTGCCCATTTCCCTGTAAAAGCACCTCTTTGCTTCCCATTTTGATATTCATGAATCATCATACTTAAGCTCAGATTATATTAATGGTTTTTCATATATTTCTTGTGTGTTTAGACTCCAATGTGGAGCTAAACTCTTCCATTTTGCTTTTGTAATATTGACGCTTGTGATTTGTAAGTTGTGAGTTATTTTTTTAATCATCCTCTTTTGAGTATTAATTACTATCCTAATTATATTTCTTATTAATATTTGTACATTGCTAAGTGATCAGTTAGTTAATGTTTCATATTTATTATTACTAGAATTGATCAACGAATACACTTGTTTTTCGTTTGGTCCTTTCGTAAGTGGTATCTTTAGATTACCAATGCATGCCTTTCATGGTTAATAATCTATAGGAGAATTAATTATATTGATTGAACCGATAAACCTCCTGTGTTGAGGTTGTTAATCTTAGTTGATCGCATCTAAAGATAAAATGTTGTTGTCGGGTCAATATAAGGAGCTTGTTCTATATTGACTAAATAGTAAGAGTTATTAAGGAATGCCTCTCCTTATTAATAACTATCCTAGATGAATGGAAAATACTCCACAATTGAGTATTCAAGAAGGGATAGTTAAAGTAATAACCATGATATACGAGCATTTCATTAAGTGGAAATTAGCAAAACCAAGTCTCCATCTCAAAGTTAATCTTTTTACCTTCATAATTCGTTCATCTTTGTGTTTTAATAATCTCAAGTTCATACTAACTCAAAACCCCCCTTTGGTTACGATTTCACATTAGAAGAATACTTTTCCTTGTAGATACGAACTCTACTACTCTATACTACGGTATTACTTCTTAGTATTAAATTATTTTTGGGGTGCCCTTGATCACCGCGTGCTGTAATCTTCCTAGAACTTCTGTGGTTTTATTTTATTGGATATGGAACCACACACCTAGACTTCTTTTGAAATGCTGAAGGGCTAGACATAGTATGTGTGCTTGTGATGTGGCACATGTGAATCAAAGATGATAAGGAAACAGTATATCTTAATTAGGATATCTTGCATTGGCGGGGGTATGTACACACATGATTGCATGCACACACACATGCAGTTTGTGCTTCTAGACGGGGCACATGTTAATCGAGAGCTCCTCTTGCTCTATTTATGTGCTGATAATGTTAATTGTGTAATCACTTATCAATTTGTTTGAGTAAGCTTTTTATGCACTTTATCTCTGTTAACAATTTATTCTGTCTCTTGGTTCTGTCTCTTGGTTCTGTCTCTATGTCATGCATTTTCCAGAGCATATGTTGACATAATGAGATAATTCAATTTAGGGAGTACTGCATGCAATGATGAAAAGCTCCGGTCATCTTCCATCAATCTTGGCCTCAAGGAGATTCTTGACATGCCAAATGTTTCTGATAATGTATTGCAGATCAAGTTCATCAAAGCTACAAAGATGGTCCAAACCATTGTCACCGATTTTCCCCTAGGAATAACCATTTGTGAAGAAGCGGCTTCTGTATTTCAGTATTCCGAAAATAAGCGAATGCACGATGCAGTCATTTGGATTATCAGCAAGTATGGTGATAAAATATTACTAAGTGATGCTGACAGGAAACCCAAAATGTCGAGGAGGAAAGTGAGAACGTCTCCTGCTGGATTATTGGCCAAACCTAGACAATTGGACAGTGGTGAAGAATGGGAAGGTCCCCCGCCTTGGGATATGTCCTTGGGTGGTGATGGCTGCCCTAAGTTCTTATGCGATGTGATGGTATGGAACCATGTATTGAACTTCAAAATTAAGGAGATTAAAGGAATGGAGTCATTGTAGAAATTGAACAGTGTTTGCACTTGGCTCGTTGGGTCATCCAATTAGCTCGTATGATTTTTTACTCAACTGGCCTTCATGGCTGAACCATTAGAACTCACAAAGTGATGAGACAGTGGCCTATTTACCCAGGCTCGTGCCCATACTCTAGTCCATATGCCCCAGGTCCAATGAGCAATTAGAGCTGTGATAGAAATCATAGAATTGTGCTGTCTAAGATTCTCATCCCTTTTTACTGCAAATCTACCAAACTAGTTTTTCCACTATCAAGCCATTGACACAAGAAGCATTTGCATACTCTTCTTTTTTTTGTGTTTATATGGTTTATTTAGGGTCTGCATACATTGTGACTTTCAACATGCTCTTCTCTTAGAAGGAGAGTTGTGCACTATTTATGACCCTTTATGGTTTTGGCTGGTCCAGTAGGAATGTACACTGACTTCAATAATCCCTTAGGTATGGTTGTTGCTGAATCTGTGGATTTTTCAGAAATGAAAAACTTGCAGTCAATAAATAAGTCATAACTTACTTATTTTGTTGATAAATGGAACAATGCATTTTGGCTACCATTCCTATCAAAAGGTGTCTAGGGAATATGTACTCTTTCCTTGTGTAGCAGCAATATTGACGCTGCAATCTTTTAGGTTGAAGGATTGGCAAAACATTTGAGGTGTGTTGGCATTGATGCTGCCCTTCCACCTATGAGAAAACCTGAAACAAGGTTGTAATTTTACTTTTTTCTTACTAATATGAAAAATTTGACATGCAATTGGAGTTTTCAGTTTTTATGGCCAACATATATGTGTGCTGCTTGACGAATAATGTTTTCTTAAATGTATTGTTTTTTAATATTCTTGTTATCAGGAATTTAATAGAACAAGCATCCAAGGAGAAGCGAGTACTTTTAACACGAGATGCCAAGCTGTTGAGACATGGCTATCTCATAAAAAACCAAATTTACAGGGTGAAGAGTCTTCTTAAAAATGAACAACTTATTGAGGTGAACAAACTCCATATGCCGCCATGCAACAACCAAATGACTTGTTTAGCGACAATGATAATAAAACTGCACCTCCTGTATTTTACAGGTGATAGAAACATTTAAATTGGATGTTTCAGAGGAACAGCTGATGTCCAGGTGTACAAAATGCAACGGGAGGTTCATACAGAAAGCTCTTTCAACTGAAGAGGCCGTTGAAGCTGGCAAGGGATTTCAGGTCATCCCAAACTGCTTATTTAACAAGAATTTGGAGTTCTGGCAGTGCATAGATTGCAAACAACTCTATTGGGAGGTAAATATTGTTGCTATTTTCATAGACTATGTTTGAATTCTGGAAAGTGCTAGGGAAAGGAAATAAAATGCTGATAAAAGGTGTTTTATGTTTGTTTTACCTGGTAAATGAAAAGCAAAACAAATGATTAACGTTTTTATTTTTCCCACATGTTTAGATTTCTTAGCATCTATTTATATATTAGAAATTTATGAAAATTGAAATTTGAACAAATAATAAATAATACGTTGATTGAGTTTGAACCGATGTTTTATTTTCTTCAGACATTTCCTTCCAATTTCTTCTGCAATTCCATCTCTGTTTTCTTTCCCTAGCCTTTTCTTGGAATGGACCTTAGTGAATCTGCACATTTTCATTGTGTTGTCCAGACTCCAGAGACATGACCCCCCCCTCTCGCTCCCCCCCCCCAAAAAAAAAATGAATCGAATATATGCACTCCTAATTACACTATGTGATATTTGAGCATGGTGCTATTGCACTGTAGGGAACCCAATACCATAATGCTGTACAAAAGTTCATTGACATTTGCAAGCTAAATGAGTAATGCGTCCCTGAAAGAATGACTCCCCGACGGAAGTTCACTAGATGTATGACCAGAAGAATTCAAAGTCGGATGCACTATGAATGGAAAAAGATAACCAGCAACTAAATGTGGAAATGATACTATGTGATTAAAAGATGGAAAAAGTTCAATCCAACTGATCCAACATGGCACCTTGGGTGCGTCCTCCTGGCACGGACCAAGCTTTTGAATCCATCCATATGTTTTTCCTTTCTGATATTTAGCTTCACCACTCAAATGACTATCACGTGAATGACATTGTAATGTAGAATTGTAGACTATACTTGGTATTTCATTCCTATTAAATTCAAGTTACCCGTTAAAAGAGTAACTTTACAGGATACGTTTCTCCGGATTTTGTATATGAAGACTTGATAGGAGCTGAACTTCTGCTCGCTCCGTCCCACAAAACTTGGCCAAAGTGGACTTGCACGTAGGTTAATAAAGTAAAAACTATGTAATTGAAATTTGTGCAGAGGAGAGAGAAACAACTTTAGCCACATATTCTTTACTTTAAATGGAAATGACAAAGTTTTTTGGGACGGTCAAAAAAGAAAATTTGGCCAAGTTTTATGAGACAGATGAAGTATTTGTATAACTTGATTTTGAGGCCGTTTGGAACCACTATTTTTCGGCTTATCAGGCTTATCAGCCAACTTTTTCACCAAACACGTAATTTTTGCTTTCGCGCGCTGAATTGTGTAATAAGCAGAAAAAGTAAGGTTGGTGTTACTTTCCTGGCTGTATTGGTTGAAATTACTATAGATGACCATTTTAGCTATTTTTACATATAATTTTTTCTTTATTTTATTAATAAAATATACGATAGTATTTTAAAAATACTTTTTTCTTAAATCATCAGAATCAGCCAATGCAGCCATTTCAGTCAAAACTTCATAAGTTTCAGCAGAATCAATCGATTTTTGTGCTACCAAACTGGCTCTTTGTATAAGATGACTTAACAGGATTTATAATTCTACTCTTCAAGTGTCAGCTATGAAGCACGGATACTTCCCTAGGGTAGCGTATCGGCGTATCGGATACGTTCCCGTATCCGATACTTTAGGATACCCGTACCGTACGTTCCTGGGCCGTATCCTCAATTTTTAAAAGTTTCCATTTTTTTTTTTGTAATTTTTTGAAAGTTTCCGATACTCGTATCTAGACGGATACCGGTATCAACTTTTTTTTTTTAAAAAAAATCTCAAAATTTACTTAATAAAATTCCAAAAAAATGGAAATCTAAAACTACATTTTACTTGGTAATCAAATAATGGGCCTATATGGCTATATCCGAATTAAGTCATTAGCTCATACTCTAAAGTGGGTACTTGCACTTTTAATTTCAAGATTGCAGTTGTTTGACTCATTTCTCATTTTAAATTAATGACTTATTGACTACATTTATATTTCGAGATACACTAGCATATATGAGAAATATAATGAATTTATTACTAAGTATCTTGAAAAAGGAAAATGCTTCAATGCAATGAATGGGTAGACATCATAAGATATTTTATGTATATATATATATAGAGGACTGCTCAGGTCCCTCCGGAGGGACCGTCCGAACTTTACTGTTTGGGGCGGTTCCCGGTGGAATTTTTTGATGAAATTTTTTGAGCATGTTCCTCATCAAGTCTAGTTTGTCCATACCAAATTTCAGCTCAAAATTCGACCGGGAAGGCAGTCAAATAAATTCTTGAAACTTACTGCACTTTATATATGCTCAGAATGTGCAGTAAGCTTCAAGAATTTATTTGACTGCCTTCCCGATCGAATTTTGAGCTGAAATTTGGTATGGACAAACTAGACTTGATGAGGAACATGCTCAAAAAAATTCATCAAAAAACTCCACCGGAAACCGCCCCAAAAAGTAAAGTTCGGACGGTCCCTCCCGTCCCTCCGGAGGGACCTGATCTTTTCTGTGTGTGTATATATATATACATATAGAGGACTGCTCAGGTCCAGCCGGAGGGACAGGAGCAGCCGTCCGAACTTTACTGTTTGGGGCGATTCCCGGTGGAATTTTTCGATGAAATTTTTTGAGCATGTTCCTCATCAAGTCTAGTTTGTCCATACCAAATTTCAGCTCATAATTCGATCGGGAAGGCAGTCAAATAAATTCTTGAAACTTACTGCACTTTATATATGCGCAGAATGTGCAGTAAGCTTCAAGAATTTATTTGACTGCCTTCCCGGTCGAATTTTGAGCTGAAATTTGGTATGGACAAACTAGACTTGATGAGGAACATGCTCAAAAAATTTCATCAAAAAATTCCACCGGGAACCGCCCCAAACAGTAAAGTTCGGACGGTCCCTCCCGTCCCTCCGAAGGGACCTGATCTTTTCTGTATATATATATATATATACATACATATATATATATATATATATATATATATAGACTAATATTCATATACTATATATATATATATATACTGTTAGGTCCCTGTTTTCTAGCCTATAAAATGTATGTATGGAAGATAGATCTGTGTATGAAGCTTTCCATTGATGTGAAGGTTTTACAGAATGATATGAGAGTTTTTAGCGTAAAAACCTTACACAGAAATAGGCTCTGCGGCACTAGGAATATCGAAAAGCTTAACCTAGCCTTTCCCTTAAGGCATATTTATAGCCTGACGGGAAAGGTAGGTTTTACAATCATTTGGGCTCCTTTTTCTAGGAGGCCCATACCTAAAAAGGTATAAAACCTTTATTACAAAATTGCCTTAAAAGGCCTATTCATTATTCTAGCTAACTATAAACTAGCAAAGTAACATTGATCACAATTACAATGAAAATATCTCTAACAATCTCCCCCTTTGTGATCAGATGTTCTTGCTTCTTCTTTTCTTCACTTCTGAGCTTTAAAATAATGCTTTCTAAGATTTAATGCATGCTCGTAATTTCTGAGAGTTCTTGGAGATGAGGAGAAGGAAATTCGACACTAATCTGATCAAACATCTACCATACATGAGATGGTTCTCATTGCTGGTGCGACACTTCTGCAGAACCATTCCAACGATTCAAAGACGCAAAACATCTGAGAATGTCAGCACTCCAGCCCTACAATATCTGAAGAGAATGCCAGAGGTACGCTCACTGGTACCATTACCCATTCCAGTCCCTCTCCTCCTGTTAGCCGGTCGAAATGATCCACATGTCATACGCTACAGTGAGGAGAATGGTGTCATACTCCCTATGGCTCAGATAAACCCCCCTGAGCCTACCCCGGGGAGTCAGCCGAGAGTGAGTGAGGGTCCTGAGAGTTCAACCCAGCCACAGAGACCAGTGGCAAGCCGGCCCCATGATGATCAGACTATGTCTGCTGAGGGCCACCCCCGTGCTGAAGAGTTTACCCATGATTCGCCAAGCGTAGCCACAACACAAGACGCTGACGATGAGGGCTCTGGGAGCAAGGCTAGGAACGACGACGATGATGATGATGAGGACGACGACAATGCCAATACAAAGGGCAAGAAAGTCGAGAAAGCCCGCGCTAAGAAAGGACGACTCGTTATCAGGCTTTCTCGGGCTACAACACAAGAGCAGTCTCACCAAATCAAGGACACTCAATGGAAAGCTTCATTCCCAGATCTGTCTTCCATACATACATTTTATAGACTAGAAAACAGGGACCTAACATCTGGTATCAGAGCCGGAGCTGATCGATCGATTGAAGGCTGAAAATACTCCTGCGCGATTCTTCATCGTTGAAGTTTTGCACTTGAGCGATTTCTGGTTCTATTTTTGTTGTTGTTTTTGCAGGAAAATGGCTGAAGGAAAAGGTTTCTACTGTTGCTAGGATCATTCCTGGAGAAAATCTCAATCTGAAACTCGGCGTACAGGTTCAGCCAGATTTGAGCGATCCTGCATTTTCGCGCAACTCGCTGAAAAAGAAGAACAGGTTCGCGCAACTGAGCATCTGAGCGATTTCGAGCTTCGCGCAACAATACTTGCGTGATCTCACTCTTGCGCCATCTTCAAAGTGCCTCCTGCGCGATTTTCAGACTTAGCGCAACACTACTTGCGCGATCTGGAACTTGCGCCAACTCCAAAAGCTTGAGCGATCTCAACTTTGCGCAAACTCTCTAGCGCGATTTCAACTTCAGGAAAAATCTCTTGCGCGATTTCAACTTCAGGAAAAACTCCCTTGCGCGATACAACATTTGAGCTATTTCGTCCTTGCGCGATCTAGAATTGCCTGATTTCCAATTTCACGCAAACTCACTTGAGCGATCTTTTTTTTGTAAGTTGAGCGATCTTTTCAAAAAGGTTGAGCGATCTTTATAAAAGTTGAGCGATCTTTATAAAGTTGAGCGATCCTTGTAAGGTTGAGCGATCCTTGAAGTTGAGCAATCTTTTTTAGAGTTGAGAGATCTTTTTGTATTGTGGAGAGATTGTTTGTAAAGTTGAGTGATCTTAGTGAAGTTGAGCGATCCTTCAACATCTTGCCCGATTTAGACACTTTGCAACCAGAACAAAGACATCTGACTGAAGACTCAAACAACAGAACAGAACCTATTCAATCAACTGATCAGCCCGATCAATTCTAAAATGGATGCCCTATCTATTGGAAACGATACAAGACCCCCGATTCTACGAAGAGGGGAGTACAATGTATGGAAGAACCGATTTCTGAATTTTCTTGAGAGCAAGGACCAATCATCTGGTCTTCTTGATTCCATCACCAATGGACCTGCACAACTCATGATTGCTGTTGAAAGAGACAATGGGAACAATCCACCGGTTGAGATAGAATGGAGACCGAAGACTGTTGACGAATATGATGATGAGGATAGAGCAAGACTCCGGGCAGATCTCATTGCCAAGACCTACCTGTTGCAGGCCATCCCGAACGACATCTACATGCAGATTGACAGCATGTCAACTGCAAAAGAGATGTGGGATGAGATCTTTAAGATCATGCAAGGCACTGAGATCGGAGTAAAGGCGAAGAAAGCTAGCACATTCACTGCTTATGACTCATTCAAAGCCAAGCTGGGAGAGTCACTTGAAGACACGTACCTGAAATTCCTGCAATTGATAAATGAGATGAGAAAGATTAATGTGCATAAGTCAAACATGGAGTTGAATGTGAGATTCCTTTCTGCACTTGGAGCTGACTGGAGAAAGCTGACTTCGCAGATCAGGCACACAAAGGATCTGGATGAGATGGATATTCATGCTGTGTACAACACGCTGAGCCAATACACAGAAGATTTTGAAGACTTTGCGGTAGCTACTGTGACAGCTGAAAGAGGGAAGGGAGCCGTGGACAAGCTTGCAGACACCCTTGCCCTAATGCTTGACAAACCATCCAAATCTGGTTCAAAGAAAGACAAGATGATTGCAGAAGAGAGTGAAAGCGCAGACAGCGACATCGGATTTTGGGAAGATTCTGATGATGAT